GAGGGGAGGTAGAGACCTGACAGCGTGCCAGACGGGACCGCCGGACAAGGAAGGACAGTGGAGGAGGTCGCAATGACTGGACCCCCAGAGGGGTCAGCAAGAGAGACAGCAACTGGCCGAGCTAGTGGCTCAAGGACAGTGCGGTCACGAAAGAAGGAGCGAGAAGCACCTGAGTCCAGTGTGAAGGTGTGCAGTGCTGCAGTCGACTCAGTACCAGGGGGGACGGACGCACGAGCACCTAGGGCAGCAGCCTCACCAGGACCTGTGGGAGCAGACGCACTAGCACCTAGAGCGGCAGCCAGACTGGTCTGAATGCCCGGGTCGGGCGGAACACGCAAGTACTGAGCACCCTCTCCACTAATAGACATCGCATACATGGCAGTGAGAATAGCATCAAAGTCTAAAGCCCAAATATCAACACCCCTCTTTTCCAGATCAGCCCAGCGCGGCAGCTCAGTGGCAGCAGGAAACTGAGTGCGCCACGCGTCATTAAGGCGCGCGAAGCAGCGCTGCGTGGGGTGCGGCCTCCCACACTGCTGGCCGCTGCGGTCACCTGTGCGAATGACGTACGTGCAGATAACGCTACGCTGCGCATACCACTCACGGGCGGCCTGAAGCGTCGGGGCGGGCTGCTGACTCTGCCCTCCGCCAGTGCCTCCACGACCACCACCCCCACCGCCGCCACCCCGGCCACCTCCACCCCTGCCGCCGCCACGACCACCTCCGCCTCCGCTGCCGCCTCCACCACCACTCCCACCGCTGCTGTCTCCTCCCCCACTGCCGCCACCAGTCTCCCCAGCCGCGCCTCCACTCCCACCGCCTCCACCCCCACCTCCTCCGCCACCACCCCCACCCCTGCCCCCTTTGTTCCTGCGGCGCCCGCTCGAAGCAGACGCGGTCCCGACCTTCTCAGCACCAAGAAGGTCGACAGCAGCAGCAGAGGCGACAGAGGGGAGGAGGGGGGAAGGGGAACACCCCTCAAAGAACGGGGTGCGGGGGTCGCCACGAGAGGTGCCTACAGCGACGATGCTCGCCTCAGCTGCAAGCAGTTCCTTCTCGAGGAGGGCAACAGTGAGCTCAGTGGGGGAGCGAGAGAGGAAGTGGTCCCTGACTGCGCGCAGAGAGTCAGGGAGGCGGGTGACGATGTGGTAGAGAGTGATCCAGAGTGGGGGGGGGTTGCTAGTGAGAAACTCGGCAGGCATAGCAGCGCGAAAGCGGGCCTCACTAGTCTTAAGGTGGGTGATGAGGTCTGCGACAGTGTGAAAGGAGGCTAGGTCGGGGAACAGGTAGGGGAGAGTGAGGCGGCCTAGCGTGGCAGAAGCGGGTGAGGAGTAGCGGGCAACTACAGCGGTGTAGAGGTCCTTAGCAGTCTTGCACTGGCCGAAGTGCTCGCGCTCGTCTAGTGGCAGGGAGTTGCGAATAGCAAAGCGAGCATGCGCATCACGGGTCTGCCACTGGGAACGCAGAGTGCTGTCAGCAGTCGAGTCAGGGGCAGTGGCATGGCCTAGGGCGTGATCGTACAGTGAGATATCTTCCTTGGCAGTGAGCTGTAGGAACAGATGCAGGTCATCTAGCCAGGTTTCGAACTTCACCGGACGGCCCTCGGCATCGAAAGCTAGAACGGGAGGGCTAGCCATAGCGACAGTAGCAGTAGGAATCAGGCCGCTGGAACAGTGTGCGGAGAGTCAACGGGGCCGGCTGGGCCACTAGGTAAGGCGCGGGCGGGGTCGACTGTCCGTAGTGGCACACTAGCGGCAGTAGTAGGTAGCTGGGCAGCAGGAGCTGCAACGGTGCACTGGTGGCTGGTGTAGTGGCAGCAGTGTGCACGGTAGATAGAAAATAATAGCAGTGAGAGCGTGGGCCTCGCGGGCGGCGGCTGCAGAAGCGCACGAGTGGCAGCGGCGGTGCACGAGTAGCGGTGGCGCACGGGCAGCAGCAGCGTAGGGGCAGCAACGGTGCTCGGGAGGGAGCGGTGCGCAAGCAGCAGCGGAAGAAGCGGCGTACAAGCGGCTGCGGGCAGCAGGGCGTGCGCGAGTGGGCGACGGCGGCTGCAGGCGGGCAGCCACGGAGACGGCGGGCTACGGGCCTGCGGGGCGGGTGTGCGCAGGCGACGGGCGGCTGCGGAGCGAGCGCGGGCGGGCGACGAGCAGCTGCGGGGCGTGCGCGAGCAGGCGACGGGCGGCTGCGGGGCGCGCGCGAGCAGGCGACGGGCGGCTGCGAAGCTCGCGTTAGCGGGCGACGGGCGGCTGCGAGCGAGCGGCCGCTGCGACAGCGGGCTAAGGGCCTGCGGGGCGTGCGCTAACGGGCGACGGGCGGCTGCGAGGCGGCGCGACGGGGCCGTGAGGGGCCTCTAGGTCAAAAAACGACGGGGCCGCGGGGCCTCTAGGCGGGGCTCGATCGACGGGGCCAGCGGGGCCGAAAAAAAAGGCTAATAATAAAGCGCTCGAGGGCGCTACGTGGGAGGCGCTAAGAAGGCACTCCGGTAGTAGGTAGGTAGGTAGGTAGGTGGGCCCTTAGGACGGTCCTAGCGAAGGACCTGCTCTGAAACCATGTCGGAGTTAACAGACAGGAATGGTTGAACTAACAGAGAAATCAGTACAAAATAGCAAACCCTAGAATTGTGTACCCCATATAGGCTAACCCACTGTAGCCTAACAAACCCAACATATATAATGTTTGACAAGATGTGCTCTGCTCCCATTCTGTGCTGCATCCCACGCCACTCCTGCCCCCATCTCTCATGTAATCTCCTCATTGGCCACCTGCACTGCCGGCCTAGGGTCATCGGCCATATCCACATTTTCGATGATGTACGCCACTTCCCCTTGCCGCTTCTTGATCGCTTTCAACACCTTCACCAAGTCCCGGAACTGGGCACCTCGCTCATCTCCCATGCCCCTGCCTCTTCCCGCCCGTGAGTATCCTTGGCAACTCCATCCCGCAATCACTAAATCTATTTTTCCCCACTCAGCAAGCATGTCATCATTGATCTCTGCCCCCCCCCCCCCCCCCCCCCCCCCCCCCCCCCCCCCCCCCCCCCCCGCCGGACATAGCCACTCCGCTCCCCTCTCGGCCGCCTCCTCCATGAGCTGCGAATGGTACCTGGCCTTCAGCAGCCTGATGTGGTGCCATATCATGAGGTTTGCATCACCGCTATTATCCACGTACAGGTACTTGCTCACCGTATGCCCCGCCTTTAACACCGCCGCCAGTCCTGCCGCTATCCCTCCGTACAGCTCTAGCAACATCAGCGGTTTCTGGAAGGCCCGCAGGTTCAACTGTTGCTCGCGTAGATTGTCACTGACCCCCCAAATCTCCTCATATTGCTTCCGTGCTGCCTCCATCTGCCCCATGTCCTTCCACGTTAATATCCCCAGCTCTTCTTCCAGCGGCTTCTCCACGGCCTGGTATGCTTCCCTAAGCTCCCTTCTGACAAACCGCACAGGTAGCTCCGCCAGCGGACTCCCATGCTCCCTGTAGGTTACCCGGCACATCAGCCTCTCTTCCCACATGCAGTTCGTTGTGCCGATCGCGAACAAATATTCCACTCCTAGCATGAAGATCATAGTCTTCCGACGTCGATACACCGCAGTACATCCGCACCACACACTCGTCTTCATGCCCCAGCCTGATAACGATTTCAACGGTGCTCCTGGTCCTCGGCATCCACTTGGCCGTTCCTCCCTCAGGCGTCATAAGCGGGTACCCCTCCTGTATTAGACGATCCTCACGGTCCAGTCCCAGCAGCCTCGCCATGGGGGCCCCGATTAGCACGTTGTGCGCCCCCGTGTCTAGTATCGCCTGTTTGACCTTCACTCCTCCCACCGACATCACGCCTGGTTCCACCACCAGAACTGATGGCTGGCAGACCATCCTCTTCAGGGGGTGCCGCCGCGCCGCACCCGGCGGACGATCCTCCGAGGTATCTCGGCGCGGGTCGCGCTCCTGCGTGGGTTGCTCCTGTACTGGGCGAGCCATCAATGCGAAGCTAGCCTCACTGTCGTCGTCATCTTTTTCTTCCGCCTTAGCCAGCATCGTTGTTCCCTTCGCCTCTTGCCCCTGGACCTCTTCCAGCTGGCGCTGTAAACGTGCAATGTGCGCCCTCATGCTTTCCGAGTCCCTTCTGGTCCGCCCTTCCTTGCCTCCCGCATAGCAATCCTTCTCCGCGTGTCCTCTCCTCCCGCAACGCTCGCACGTCGGCGCACTTGGACAGTCCCGCATCATGTGTTCCTCACTTCCACATGTGGAACAAGCAGGAGGATTGCGGCAGTCTCTCCTCAGATGGCCTTGCTGCCCATGTCAAACATTATATATGTTATGCTTGTGTAGGCTACAGTGGGTTAGCCTATACGGGGTACACAATTCTAGGGTTAGGTACTTGTACTGTTTTGCACTGTTAGTTCATCATTCCTGTTCGTTCTTTTGACATGGTTTCATAGCAGGTCCTTCGCTAGGACTGTTTTTTTAGGGCCCACCACTAACTACCTACCTACCTACCTGCGCCCTAGGGCGCCTCGTTTTTCACGGCCCCCCTGAGGCCCCGCGACCCGCGATCCGCCCCCTAGTGACCTGCGCACCGCCCCTTACGGCCCCGAACGGCCCCGCGCTCGCCCCTTACGGCCCCGCGCTCGCCCCTTACGGCCCCGTCGGCCCCGCGCTCGCCCCTTACGGCCCCGAACGGCCCCGCGCCCGCCCCTTACGGCCCCGATCGGCCCCGCGCTCGCCCCTTACGGCCCCGAACGGCCCCGCGCTAGCCCCTAGAGGCCCCGATCGGCCCCGCGCTCGCCCCTTACGGCCCCGTCGGCCCCGCGCTCGCCCCTAAAGGCCCCAACGGCCCGCGACCGCTACAGCCGCCCGATCCGAGTCGAGCCGCGCGACCCGAACCGGGCCGCGCCGCCCGAACCGAGCCGCGCCGCCCTAGCCGAGCCGCACAGCCCTAGCCGAGCCGCGCTGTCCTACCTGCTACTCCTACTGCTACTACTGCCACTGCTACTGCTGCTATGGCTACTCCTCCTGTACTCGCTTTTGATGCTGAGGGCCGCCCAGTGAAGTTTGACACCTGGCTCGATGACCTGCACCTCTACCTACAGCTCACTGCCAAGGAAGATATTTCACTGTACGATCACGCCCTAGGCCACGCTACTGCACCTCCTACTACTGCTGACAGCACTCAGCGCTCACAGTGGCAGACTCGTGACGCTCACGCTCGCTTTGCCATCCGCAACTCCCTACCGCTAGATGAGCGCGAGCACTTTGGCCAGCACAAAACTGCTAAGGAACTGTACACTGCTGTAGTTGCTCGTTACTCCTCGCCTGCTTCTGCCGCACTAGGCCGCCTCTCCCTCCCCTACCTGTTCCCCGACCTGGCCTCCTTCCACACCGTTGCTGACCTCATCACCCACCTCAAGACTAGTGAGGCCCGCTTCCGCGCTGCTATGCCTGCCGAGTTCCTAGCTAACAACCCCCCCCCGCTCTGGCTCGTTCTCTACCACCTAGTCACCCGCCTCCCTGACTCTCTGCGCGCAGTCAGGGATCACTTTCTAGCTCGCTGCCCCACTGAGCTCACCATTGCCCTCCTCGAGAAGGAGCTACTTGCAGCCGAGGCGAGTGTCGTCGCTGTAGGTGCCTCTCGTGGTGACCCCCGCACTCCTTTCTTTGAGGGGTGTTCCCCTTCCCCTCTCCTCCCCTCTGTCGCCTCTGCTTCTGCTGTCGACCTTCTTGGTGCTGAGAAGGTCGGGACCGCGTCTGCTTCGAGCGGGCGCCGCAGGACTAGAGGGGGCAAGGGTGGAGGTGGCGGCGGGGGAGGCGGGGGTGGAGGCGGTGGGAGTGGAGGAGGGGCTGGAGAGGCTAGTGGCGGCAGTGGGGGTGGTGACGGCAGCGGCGGGGGCGGTGGCAGGGGCGGGGGCGGCAGCGGGGGCGGAGGTGGTCGTGGCAGCGGCAGGGGAGGCGGTGGTCGCGGAGGTGGCGGCAGTGGTGGTGGCCGTGGAGGCGCTGGCGGTGGTCTGAGCCAGCAGCACACTCCGTCGCTCCAGGAGGCCCGTGAGTGGTATGCCCAGCGTCTTAGCTGCACGTATGTCATCCGCACTGGTGACCGTGCTGGTCAGCAGTGTGGGAGGCCGCACCCCACGCAGCGCTGTTTCGCGCGCCTTACCGACGCTTGGCGCACCCAGTTCCCTGATGGCGCTGAGCTGCCCCGCTGGGCTGATCTGGAGAGGAAGGGAGTTGATATCTGGGCTCTAGACTTTGATGCTATTCTCACTGCCATGTATGCCATGTTTACTAGTGGAGAGGGTGCTCAGTACTTGTGTGTTCCGCCCGACCCGGACATCCTGACCAGTGAGGCTGCCACTCCAGGTGCTAGTGAGACTGCCGCTGCAGGTACTTGCGTGTCTGCTCCCTCAGGTGATGGTGAGGCTGTCGCTCTAGGTGCTCGTGCGTCTGTCCCCCCTGGTACTGAGTCGACTGAGGCACTACACACCTTCACCCTTGACTCAGGTGCTTCACGCTGTTTCTTTCGTGACCGCACTGTCCTTGAGCCACTTGCTCGGCCAGTTGTTGTCTCCCTCGCTGACCCCTCTGGGGGTCCGGTCATTGCGACCTCCTCCACTGTCCTTCCCTGTCCAGCGGTCCCGTCCGGCACACTGTCAGGGCTCTACCTCCCCTCGTTCTCCACGAACTTGGTGGCAGGTAGCGCGCTCCAGGACGGGGGTGTTCACCAGTTCACCCCTGCCTACGAGCGTGTGACACACTGCACGTGTGCTCGGACGGGTCGTCACCTGGCTACCTTCACTCGGGAGCCAGGGTCGGACCTGTACACACTGACCACTGGGTCCCCACAGGTGGCTGCGTCTGCGTCTGCGTCAGGTCAGCTGTCCGCCCCTTGCTCGTGTCGGTCTCTCGCGCACGACACCGTCCTCTGGCACCACCGACTTGGCCACCCGTCCGTGCAGCGCCTTCGGACCATGCACCAGCGGTACCTTGTCTCTGGTCTTCCCAGGGTTCTCCCTCCCCTCCCACCCTCGCCGGCTCCTCCCTGTATTCCCTGTGTCGAGGGGCGGCAGCGCGCTGCTCCTCACTCTTCTGCGTTTCCCCCGACGGAGGCTCCTCTGCAGACACTCCACCTGGACGTGTGGGGCCCTGCCCGCGTCCGTGGACAGGGCGGGGAGCGCTACTTTCTGCTGGTAGTTGACGACTACACGCGCTACACCACGGTCTTCCCCTTGCGCACCAAGGGTGAGGTCCCTGATGTCTTGATCCCTTGGATCCGTGCTACTCATCTCCAGCTGGAGCGGCGCTTTCGCTCGGACCTTCCGGTCCTGCGACTGCACTCTGATAGGGGCGGTGAGTTTTCCTCCGACCTCTTGAGCGCCTTCTGTCAGGAGGAGGGCATTGAGCAGACGTTCACGCTTCCGGCCTCTCCGCAGCAGAATGGGGTTGCTGAGCGCCGCATTGGCCTGGTCATGGAGGTCGCTCGTACCTCCTTGGTCCATGCGGCTGCCCCCCATTTTCTGTGGCCGTTTGCTGTCCGGTACGCCGCGCATCAGCTCAACCTCTGGCCCCGTGTCTCCGCTCCGGAGACCTCGCCGACACTGCGTTGGACGGGAGAGGTTGGCGATGCGTCGGTGTTCCGCGTCTGGGGATCTCGTGCCTTTGTCCGCGACACGTCCGCGGACAAGCTCTCTCGTCGCGCTGTCCCCTGTGTCTTCCTTGGCTTTGTCCCTGACGCGTCTGGCTGGCAGTTTTACCACCCTGTCTCGCGCCGTGTCTTCCCCTCTCAGGACGTCACGTTCGACGAGTCGGTCCCCTTCTACCGTCTCTTCCCCTACCGCACTGCCCCGCTCCCCCCTCCGCCTCTCTTCCTCGCGCCAGGTGCTGCTGTTGTAGAGCCCCTCCCCCCTCAGGGTGCCGCTCCCTCAGGTGTGTCTCAGGTAGACCCCGTTGAGCCTGTCGAGGTAGCCGACAGGCTCACTGCTCCTTGTTGGTGATAGCTCCTTGCCCCCTCCCATGACTTGCAGCCGCCCTCGCCCTGGTCACGGGACCCTGCTACACCTGCACTCTGTTCCCAGCCCTCGCCACATTGGTAACGTGATCCACTGCGCGTACCCCAGTCTCACTCTCCAGGACAAGCACTCCTGAGTCTCGAATCTCCTTGACGGTCCACCGCTGATGAGACAACCCCACATCCAGACCGTCTTTCTTGGGCCTACGAATATACACCTCCTGTCCCTGCTGTAAGGCTGTTGGCGTTCCGCCAGCCCGCTGCTCCTGTCGCTTCTTATAGCGGTGGATGTCACCCAGCTGAGCGACATGCAGACTCTCCAACGCCGCTGGCAGCAGGCGGCGAAGGTACTCTCCTCGCACTCTTGCTAAGGCTGCCCACTTCTCCGACGACCCTGCGGTCACCGCGACTATCAGCACCCGCGAAGCCCCTGTCGGCATCAGCGCTTCCCTCCCAAAGGGGAGATGGTATGGGGAGAGGTCCCTGAGCGCCGCCTGCTTGCTAAACCTGTATCCTGCCATGACCCTGTGTGTTGGTGTAAGGGCCTAAAAAAACTCAAGCTATTAGGACTTAATCAAACTTAAAACCTCTCCTCGGGGTCACCTCCAAGGGTCCCTGGGTGCCTGGTACAAGACCAGCCCCTATCCTCGGGTCCGGGTTTGTAGAGAGAGGAGTTTAAGAATGACTTAGCCAAAATAACAAGAGTACCTTGAACGTCGCGCAGCGTGCCGTGCAGACCGTCGATCGGATAAAGCTGAGAATTCGCTATATCGAAGCTCGCTCCAAGAGCTATAAAATAAGCCAAGTTGCCTCGCGAAAAGTTCTGCCATTACAAAGTTATGGCTCGGACAGCGTTTGCCTAGCGTTGGAGTGCTAGCATACTAGCATTGACTCGGGTAGCATTCCGCCGTCGAATAGCGCAGAAACGAAACTCCAGCGAGGAAGGAATTCGCTTGAATCAATTTTTACTATATTCAGGTACAAACAGAGAAGGATTAAATAGTTCTAGCTAGCACAGACCTTGGGAATCAACCTGGGAACAACCAGGGATGATCCCAAAAAATTCCAAGCAGCAGAACCAACCTGGCTGGACAAAATAGCAGGTGGTAGGTTGGTAAACAACCTCTGGTTCTGTTTTTTCCAACCTGGGAAAACAACAACCAGGTTCAGGTTCTAATAACAGAACCTGTTTTGTCTTTGCCCAACCAGCCAAATGCTGATTCCGCTGGTTTCCCCTGGCCCTGTAGCATGCAGATACAGACAAAGAACATCCAACCTTCACCTAAATTGTATCCCTATAGTGCCTGCCCTGCTACACTATAGTCAACCAAGCAAAACAGTACAATTTCGAGTTGGATAGAACTGGATCTGCGCAATCAATTCAACCGAACCGCAAAGCTTCCATCCTGGGTTCCTTTGCGAGCTCGTCCTTTCTGCTTGCACAGTTCATAGCGCGTACAATGTTGTGCCGAAGCGCACATTGCGCGAGTACCTGCAAATGCATCGAGCGAAAATTGCGAAAGCAAACAAACACACGAACATTCCATTCACACACAAATGCATTCGCACACGCATACTCGTACAAACAGACGGCAGGATGTCATGCAATGTGCATTTGCACCCAACACACTCCCCCTCAGCCTGCCGGCTGCATCCCCATCATTCCATGCTAGTTCATGCTCATTCCACTCATGCGCACACAACGCCAATGAGGCTCATCCGCAAGCCTCTTGGTGAGAAAGTCTGCTGGCTGCTGATGAGTCTTGATATAGATCGGATTCACCGTCCCCCTCTTCACCTCCTTACGCAGCCAGTGCCACTTGATACGCATGTGCTTGTTCAGCCCATGAAGCACAGCGTTTCTGGCCATCCCAAGAGCCCCCTTGCTATCACAAAACAGCGGCGTAGCAACTTTCTGCTCCTGGCCAATCTCCTCTAACAGCCTCCTCAGCCAAATCACCTCCTTCACCCCATGGAACATCGCCATGTACTCTGATTCTACAGAAGAGAGTGCCGTCTTCGTCTGCTTCTTGGACCTCCAACTAACAGGTCCTCCCCCAACTACGCAGATGTATCCTCCCACAGATGAGGAATCCTCCTTCTCAGAAGCCCACGTAGCATCGGTAAAGCAAGTGAGAAATAGCTTGCCTTCTCCAAGCCTCTCTCCCTTCTCTTTCAGCACCTCTACCCCTTTCTGCTTCACCTGTGCAGATGCGGAGTATTGAACTCCAATGCTTGGGTGAGAGTTCAGGTACTTCACCACACGCTCAGCTGCATCCACCTGCTCCTCTGATGGATTCTGCACCACCCTAGCCAGCTGCCCAACCGAGAAAGAGATGTCGGGCCTTGTGTGAACTGCTGCGTACAAGAGGCTGCCCACCAAGGACTGAAATTGCTGCTGCTCCTCGGCTTCAACCCCTTCATCCTCTACAGCCTTCACAAGCTTGAATTCTGCTGGCAGGGGAGTTGCAACCTTGCGCTCATTCTCAATCCCATACTTCTCCCCCAGCTCCTTGATGAACTTCTCCTGGTGCAGCTTCAACCACCTGTGATCAGGATCCCTCTCCACGTGCATCCCGAGGTAGTACTTTACCTCCCCAAGGTTCTTGCACTTGAAGTTTTCCATCAGTTGCTGCTGCACTTTCTGGATCTCCTTCATGCTGCTGCTGAAGAGAAGAATGTCGTCCACGTAGACCAGAAACAGCACCAGCTTCTCCCCCTTGCCCTTGAGAAAGAGGCTCTCATCACAGCTGCTGGTCCTGAATCCCATCTCCTCTAAAACAGCTGCCAACTTCTGGTACCAGCAGCGTGGCGCCTGCTTCAAGCCGTAGATGGACTTGTTGAGCTTGCACACCCTGCCCGTACCATCCTCATAAACAAGACACGGAGGGTAGGGGGTTTGGCAGTGGGAGCAAAGATCTCGTTGAAGTCCTGCTTCTCCTTCTGCATAAACCCCTTCGCCACCAGCCTACTCTTGTAGATGGTGACCTGCCCCTTGTCATCGGTCTTGATCCTCAGCACCCACTTGCATTGTATCGCTTTCTTCCCATCAGGCAGCACCACCAGATCCCATGTCCCATTCTCTAGCAGGCTCTGGTACTCAGCATCCCTAGAAGCCAGCCACTTCTCCCTATCTGGTCCAGCTAGTGCCTCCTCCATGCTAGCTGGTTCCTCTGGTGCAGGGGCAAGAAAACAGTACGCAGGCTCGTCCTCCTCATCCGGGTCATAGCCATGAGGTAGAATCAGCATTGCCTCCTCGGTCCCAAGCTGCTGCTCCGCTACACCTGATCCTGCAGTCAGCTTCTTAGTAGCCATACGGGTACGTCCTGGCCTGGAGACGGGTGTCTCCCATCCCCTCATAACGATACCCTTCGGCTTCTTAGTTTTCCCCTGCTGCTGCTCTCCTCCCTCGGATCCAGCAGCTCCACTAGTGCTGCCGCCAGTTTCCACACCATTTTCTCCACCAGCAGATGCCTCCTGTACCTTCTCTCCATCACCATTCCCCGCAGCTGCCTCCTCTCCCTCCTCCCACACACTAGGAGTCAGGTCCAACTGCATGGTGATCTGCTCCATCTGCTGGGACACCCAGGCCTCCGGCTGTTTCTCCCAGCTCCCGTACATCATGCCCTCAATGAATTTCACATCCCTGCTGTCAAACATCACACCCTTGGATGGTTCCCACAGCAGCCATCCCTTGCTCTCAGCAGCCAGCCCCAAATGCACACACCAGATTGCACTCGCCCCCAACTTACTTCGGTAGGTCTTGGGGACGTGGGCGACTGCCATGCAACCGAACACCCTCAGCATGTCCACCGGCGGCTTCCTCCCAAGCCACCTCTCCAAAGGCACCCACGAGTCATCCCCAACCTTGGTGAGCACCCTGTTCCTAGCGACGGTAGCGTGCCGGACAGCATGAGGCCACATCGAATTGCTCAGCCCAGATTCTATGAGCAGAGCCCTAGCTGTCTCCAGAATTGTCCGGTTTGCCCGTTCTGCTACACCGTTGGACTGTGGGGTGTAAGCCGTGGTCAGCTCTCTCTGGATGCCCTGCTTCTTGAGCCAGGCCGTCATTTCAGCTCCAAGGAACTCACCACCCCGGTCTGTCCTAATCCGCTTCACTACACACTCCGCCTGCTTCTCCACGAACGGCAGCCAATCGTCCCGTATCGTGGAGGCGGCGTGGTCCTTCTGCTTCAGCGGATATGCCCACATCAGCCTGCTCCAATCATCCACAATTGTAAGGAAATACCGCTCCCCCTTGTGCCCTTGCACCGGCAGCGGCCCCACCAAGTCCATGTGGACCAGCTCCAAAGGCTTCTTGCTCCTGCCAGCCACACTATGGAAAGGGAAACGGGTGAACTTTGAAAGCAAACAGATTTCACAGTTGTCATTGGGTGGCTGTCCGTTCAGCTTCAAACCCTTAACGGCTCCATCCTTCTCCAGCTGCTTCAATAAGGGCATTGCCACATGCCCCAAGCGTCGGTGTGCCGTTGAACAATCCGTCTCCCCAGATCTGGCCGACACTTTCACGCCAACCCCTCCAACGGCGTTGCACTCCCCCTGGGATGCAGACCCCTCTCTAGCCTGCCCCCCACCGTGCCACGCCAACACCGGCAGCTGCCACATGGATCTGTACACGTCCTTGCTCTCGTGCAGATCCCAAAGCACCCGATTGCCCAGCTGCCCCTTGTACGTGCGAGCCCCATCCGTGCTAGTGCTCACCCCAGCCTTGGCAAGCTTACGGAGGGAGATGAGGTTGGCCTTGAGGTCGGGGACGAGGAGAACGTCGTGCAGCACCACCGGCTTGCCATCCGCTCCCTTAAACGCAGCTCGTCCCGCACCAGCCACCTTCAGCGCGTGTCCAGAGGCGGAGCACACCTCGTTAATCGGTGCAGCGCGTACGTCGTCCAGCAGGTCTTTGCGCGGCGTCATCGTCCAAGCAGCGCCCGTGTCCAACACCCAATAGTCCAGGGGGTGCAGCTCTGC